TCCGCCACCATGCGCGGCCTAGCGGCGGCCGGCGAACTACTCGCTGGCTGGTGCTCGCGCGCGCGCGTCGCGCAATGCCGGATTGCCGAGATGTACCGGATCGCGTATTGCGACCGCCACAACGTTAATATCGAATATGCAGTATTCAAGTAGCAGCAACAGTTTAAACTTCATTATACATTATTAAAATTATTCACCATTACAGCAGAACGTTTAATAGAACAGAAATTATTTTAGTTCTTTAGCTAAATATTTCGCACGATCATTTTTCAATAAAATTAGTGTTTTTAACACATAGTGGTCCATAGAAGAGAAAATAACTTTATCATAAAATAACAGACAAAATTTACTTAAGTTTACATAAGATATATTGTGTTAGCAAATTATTTTTCTCCGCGTGATGTCTGTAAGTGGAACAAGTTTTCGACTTGCCTGCAACATCCCTGAGATCTAAGTAGCTGCCCTCTCGTGCCGTTCAGTGAACTAAAGTTGCAGTCGATAATCCATCTCTCATGCCCATTCTACACCTAGGGATGATCCTACTTGTGGCTCATCCGATACTCCCTTCTATACCTAAAGCTAATCCTACTTGCAGCTTATCCGAGGGAGTAGTATAAAGTGTAAAAGGTTTACACTTTGGTTGGTTTCCAATCGTACCAAAGTACAACTACAGTGTACCCTTTTACACTTTATACTACTCCCTCGGATAAGCTGCAAGTAGGATTAACTTTAGGTATAGAAGGGGTATCGGATGTGGTAAAAGTAGGATCATCCCTAGGTGTAGAATGGGCATAAGATTCACCCTGTATATGTATGTCTCAATATCATGTAAAACCTAATTTTATCTTGAGAGATTTAATTAAATATTATATGATTGAAACATATATAACACAATTTTTCCGTTGTTCTCCGGATTGGCTACAGTTTCGGTCAGTAATCCATCCCTCATGGTAAAAGGTTGGGACAGCCTTAATAATTCACCCTGTATATGTATATTAGCACTGACATCCTGTTTCGGCTCTCTTGCCTCAATTATTACTAATAAGAATTATTTCAGCCGTTATTGAGATATGAAAAAGTGAGCCGCGTTCTGCGTTTTGGGTGGCTCGCGTAAATATAGCCACGGGCGTCTCGAACACCGTCCCGCGCAAACTTCGATGCGCGTGAGCAATTGGCGCGAGACATTGCGCCTCTTAACGAACGCGTAAGAGAGAACGATTGAACATAGTTTCACGCGGACCGCGTAACAGTTTACAAGTGCGTTCAATCGCAGCAGATAAATTTTCCTCGATCGGCGCATTTGATGCGCGAAACTCAATATTTCCTCAATTTAACGAGCATAAAATATTTAACGTTTGCCGAAAATATTTGCGAGAAATGAGACTTACCTCTGACAACGTTCGCGTGTTAAAGAAACGCTTATCAAAACGACACGTGTTGAAACAAGGTGCTGATAAAACCTGCGCGGAACGAGTGAAGCCATTTCTGTTGCTGTTCAAATTATGCGGATTGTTTGCCAATAATGTCACAGAAGGTTCAGTAAAACACTGTTCCTGGCCTACTTACGGCATATGTGTTTTTTGGATATGCATCATCATTTCATCCTTATATCATTTATTCACCTTTCTGGCGACTACCGACGAGAAAATTGATTTAATGGCATTAGTACGAAGCACGAAACATTTGCTAGCATGCGCAAGTTTCAGTGCCGATGTCATTACTGCTTACACTTCACAAAACCACTTCACTAAGGTGAGTAAGGTGGAATAGAGCTACAATGAGGGGAGTTTTTCCTAAAATTTATCCGGAAAATCATGTAAGCGTGGAACAACAGCCTATACAGCACAGAAAGTTAAAATAATGTTGTTGAAACGTTTAATGCTGAAGTATAAATATCTTTTCTACGTTGAATCTAAATTAATGTTTGTACATTATTCTTTACATTGCTGCAACGTTAAAACAATCTTGAACAAATTACTATTTTTTGACACTCATTGTCAGTAGATTCTTTAAAAAATTATGAAATGTATAT